GAGGAAATTACTTGTTTTTAGCCATGGATCTCTTATTAAATATTATTATACAGGGTGTTACGAAAGGTTTGTTACAAACTTCTAGGGATGGTAGATCTCGTAAAAATAAAGCTTTTTGCTTAATAAACATGTGCCCGGAAATGCTTCGTTTTCCAGATATACAGGGTGTAAAATTTTGTAAAAAAATCAATTTTTATATTATTTCTCAGAAGTGCGTGCGTTTTGGAAAAAAAGTTTTTTGTTTTTTTTTTTTGTTTATTTTTAAGCAACAAATAGCCTGGTAAAATTTCCGATAATTGTGTGGCAATTTATTTTTTATTTATGGAGGTCAGTGACGTTCGTGGTTCGCCTGCAATGGTTTTTGAATTTTATCTCGAAAACAAAGTAGCATACGGAAAAAAATTAAGAGACAAAAAAGTTGTATCGTGTTCTATTCAAAAAACATATCCTATAATTGAAAATAAATCTACCGGACGATGTTTTTCGTGCAAAAAACCATCCGACAGAACCTGTGGCACGTCACTGGAATTACTGGGTCAACTCTGAGCAGACCAAAAGATACCTCATAAAGGAGTCAACAAGCTGAAAATTTCATTTAATTCGTCCAACGCATTTTTAAGAATTAATAAAAAAATTGGCTTTTTTTTACAAAGTTTAACACCCTGTATCTGGAAAGCGAAGCATTTCTGGACATATGTTTATCAAAAAAAAAACTAATTTTTACGAGACCTACCATCCCTATAGAAGTTTGTAACGAACCTTTCGTGACACCCTGTATAATTTTTATTATTGAAATAGTCCAAGTACCTCAATATTTAATGTGTATTGGCAAAGACAAATGAAATTTTCTGTAGCAATAACCTGTATCTTGACAGTTTCTGAGATTTCCAATAACTTAATGTTGATACAACAATTAAAAAGATTCGTTATTGAGATTTTTTATTAAATATTCCAATACACTTCTAAAACACCTTACTTAACTGTCCATAGACACAGGGTATTGCTACAGAAAAGTTTCATGTGCTGATCAATAATTTTTATTTAATTCTCTTAGTCCAAGAGCCGGCAATACTGACGGGTATGTGATCGTTGCAATGGATAATTTCTACATAAAACAATAGTTCTTAGTAACCTTTGAACCAAATGGATGGGTTGCCTTAATTCTCATGGCCGTTAAGTTATTCTATAAAAAGATACTTTTATAAATAGAACAAAACCATAAGCGCAACAAATAAGAAGTACCTTGCGGTGTAGGGGGTTCTCATCATATGCGGCAAACACTTTATTAACACAATTTCATGTTTTTTTTTTGTCTAAAGACCTATAGCCGTATGCAAAATCCTCTTCACAGAATCCTCTTTCAACTTTAAAAGTGACTTTGAGAGCTGTCACTTTCAAAAATTTGTATTCAGCAAGCAAAATAACGTGAAAATAACGCGCGCGCTCGACTTTCAATGAGGGTTGCCATCATTTCCGGCCATCAAGATCGAGACCACCCTATATATTATTTGAGAAGATATAATAAAGAATAGAAAATTCTCGTGCCTCAGACGCTACGCTTATACGGTACCGCTAACAATACGGTATTTCACATGGTATTTTATAGTTCTCGGACAAGAAGACACATAAATCCTCTAATCCGTTATTCTGTTTACATTTTGACAGCTGAGTTGAGTGATCTAACCCAACTTTTTTTGCTTGTTTTTTACCTTTCATTTATCCTGAAGATTTCTGAGCTTGATTAATTTTCCCTTGGTCTTTTTTATGGAGGAATTATTAGAAAATTGCTGTTTTGCAGACCTAAATGGAGCGTAAACTAGTTTTGACATAGTATAGCATTACGGTAAGGCATCCGCAAGTTCCGTTAGATAGCGGGCTCCGTTAACGCTAATACCGTAAGAACTGCCATACTTGTCAAATAGCGTTACGGTATTTGAAATTTGGACGGCACGAGAACTCTCTAATATTTCCAGCTATTGCAACGATAACATTGTTCCTTCGAAAAAAGAGGGGTAGTTTACGCCCAGCCACCAAAGGGTTGCGGCCACGAGAATCAAGACAACTTATCCATTTAGTTTAAAGGTAACTATGAGCCATAGGCGTATCCAGGGGGGGGCTGCCGGGCTGCAGCCCCCCCCCCCCCCCAAGGCAAGTCTAGACTACTTTTTTTTCAGCGTATTTTATATGACATGCACATTTTTCGTAAAAAAAAATAGAAATAAAATCTATATCTTTCTATAACAAGATTTTTCTATGGCGGGCGCCTAATGCAGCAAGGGAATCAGTGCTTCATCCTAATCATCTTGAATGTCCGAAATACTTCCTCTCTCAGGAGAGAAAGGGTTCCATGAACAAAAATTCTCATCGTCATCAAAAAAAGCGAATAATTGGCCCGATACCAATATTTTTGTCGCAAAAAAGAATAGACGAGTAACATTTGCTGGGTACGTTACAGGTGAATTCCTGACAAAAATAGGCAACTTTCACATTTTTAAATTAATTTGTTAGTCATTCTGAGAACATCTGTATTCTTTTTTCCCGAAAAAACGCCTATTTTTGAAAATAAAATTATTTGAAAATCAAATTTCAAACTGCTGCGAAAATCAAATCAAAAATTGCTCTATCGTCATAGCGCAGAATAGGAAAGGGACGTCACCAGGCCCGTAGCTAGAGGGGGGCCAGAGTGGGCAATGCCCACTCTGAAAGAAAAAGTTGCCCACTCTAGAGTGGATTATAGAAAAAAATATAATACATAGGAAAAAAAAAAAAAAAAATAACTACATAAAAACACAAAGCAATTTATGTGATCTAATTTCTGTTTTTCCGGATAATATTATCAATACTTTTTAAATTGCAATTATATTGAAGAAGTTAACGCCTATTTGCTGCGACCGTTTCCTGTTTATAAAAACCACAGTTTAAAGCCTGTTTTTTTTTAAAGATAAAAGTCAAAATGACAATCTGTTGGCAATACTTGTCAAGCTTTCAATTTTTTTATGTAGAAAAGGCTTGTGTTGCCAACATAGTTACTAAATTTTTGACTTGGGGAATTATCTTTAAAAAAAACAAAAACTTTAGTTCATATTTTACCTAAGGTGGGTGGAATTAATGATATTTGAAATCTGCCAGTTCTGTGTTCTGATTGGTTGATTTTTTAAAATTCGTCTGCGAAAAGAGAAAAAACCTCACATGAGAATTGGTTCAAAATTGGCATAAACATTCTTTGATCGATTATCTACAATCCGAATATTTTGGTTTTTTGATATTTTGGAATTTGGCGAGATTTTAGAAATAATCCATAACGAGTAACGACTATAGACAACAGGGCTGGGACTTGCTATCTTCTTCTCTCTCTTGGAAATCGATAGAGAAGGGACCACAGTAGAGATAGAGAAAAAATCTCTATTCGTTACAGAGTCCTAGCCCAGGGGGTCAATTCTTGAATATTCTCGCATACGAAAGTTGGTACGAATTCGAATGACAGCAACGTAAATTGAATAGGGAACGTTCGAAATCATCTCAATTTTCGCAGGCGAGATTATTCAAGAATTGGGCCCCAGGATATACACTTTCCATTTCAAGAAAAACGCAAATTATCGAAAAACTAAAATATTTGGATTGTAGATAATCCATCAAAGAGCCAATTCTGATGTGAGTTGTTCTTTCTCGTGTGTTTCTCGTTGCAGATGAATTTAAAAAAATCCACATAAAACTGACAGATTTCAATGTCATTAACGCCCCTTCAAGTGCGCTTTAATGTATTTTTATTATTTCTTTGTGTTTTGTTAAGGTTTTATATTTTATAATCAGTGATTATGTATTTTTGAAAATAAAGTTTTTGCACCTTGTCGTGATTTTAAGTAATGCTGAAAATCACCTGAAAATAAAAATAAGCTTGCCCCCTCTAAATGTTTGGTTGCCCCCTCTGGAATCAAAACCTGGCTACAGGGCTGGACGTCACTTTCCCAAACATGCGAGGATGCCGAATTTCTCATTAGTAAACCATTCCAGAACATGGCAGACATAAGACTAGTCCCAACCTATGACCTATTTTCGTCCTTTACTATACTTTATAAAAAAAGGAAGGCTAGGGTAAGTATAATCCGTAAACTCTTGCTTTAGCCAATGAGAGGCACGTGAAAATGAGCTATTGTGGGCAGCGTTTTTTTTTTTTTGTCAACATTTTTTGTTAACGCAGAGCCCCCCCCAAACCAAAATCCTGGATACGCCTATGCTATGAGCTATCGTTTTATGAGAAAATTATCCATTGCAACGATCACATACCCGGTAATATTGCCGGCTCTCCTACTATCTAGGAATGATTCGAATTAAGAATTTAAGTTTGTTTTACCAATACACATTGAATATTGAGGTACTTGGATTATTTCAATAATAAAAAATGTATGATATTAGTTGATAAGAGATCCATGGCGAAAAACGAGTAATTTCCTGTTTTTTGGTGTTTTTCCTCCATCCCTAAAACATCGTTATAATCACTTTTATCAAATAACTTTTTCCGAAATTTTGCCTCTTACCCCACTTTTCACGTTTCTATATCTAAATTTTCGAAGTTGCCGCCACAACAGTGATCACGTGAACAATGTCAAAATGTACTTTTAGGTTATCGGACATGCAAAATCGATCGCACATAAGAAAAAATTCCATGTCCTACAAATATGTAGCGAACATTATGGGGGACACTGTAGATAAAAAGCTGAAATTTTCAACGATTCTTATCCCAGTAGAGGACTATCATCCCTGAGAATTTTAGCTCATTTGGACTTATGATTCCAGAGAAAAAGCAATTCGGGGTGATTTATCAATTTTTCAATTATTCGGATCGCCTTTTTTCATAGATTCCGGTTACAAATCTCAGAATAATTTAGTGTATAGAGCTTGGGGGGTCCCGAATGATTATTTAGACACAAAATCACAACATAAAAAAAATTAAAATTTTATCATTTTAGTATGTATCGAGTACATTCAAAATTATTACTTACCTATAAATGGTCGGCGGTTGAGAATCCTCACTAACATTATCGTTATTATTATTGTCATTGCTTGAATAATTACAAAGGGTTACGTGTGACATTATCATTAATCAGAAACGTTAATTATTATTGGCTAGTTGTCGAATTAATCTAGCTGGCTATTTAAAATCGGTTTAACGAACTTAGTGTCTAAATATAACAATGGTTGCTTCTTAAAGCTATTTTTGGTAAGTAATTGAATTAATTATTGGTGACGTTAGGCACTACATGAACTCTTAAATATCTTAATAAGGCATGTAACCGAATTTTTCCTTGTTGGTGAAACGTAATCCTGGAAAACAAGAAATATACGAATTAAAATGGGAAACTAAGTACCTACCTAGTAAGTGTTTTTCAGAAAAGATTTTTCTTAGTAGGTATCTATAATAAAACGTGAAGTGCTAGAACAGTTCGGCAGCAATTTGGACAATTTTTCACATGTCAGTATCGAGATTTACGTGTAAAAATGGTCGAAATTGCTGCAGAACTGTCCTAGTTTATCTACTAAGTGCCCCAACTTTCAATTAATTTGTAGTAAAGGGATGTAATTTGAGGCGTTACATTTCTATATCTCTCTCAACTGGCGTTTATATTTCATATTTTTATTCTAAAGCTACAACGAGTTGAAGCGAGATTAAAAAAGTTTTTGCATTATTGCTGGCAAATTGTAATTGTCCGGAATGATTTATGCTTCAAGCATTTAACTTTATCCCTACATAAAATGTCCAGATAGATGATGGTAAAGCCTTTATTCAAAAAATTTCACAAAAGAATACATTAATCCATAAATTTTTCCTCACGGTCATCCGGATATAAGTTGTCGCAGTGCACTTGGCAAAACGCCCTACATTCGCTAATCATTTTTATCGACGACTTTTCGGTAAAACTTTGGATTGTATGTGTGGTGCCATGCACGGGCTAAGGTCAGGGCTTTAAATTCGAACTTTATCTGATTGGATCGATACCTACTTTTCATTGTAAGTATGATGTTATTTCAAAATGGATTTTCTGAAATTTAAAGTTATGAAGTTTTTATTTCAACCTTAGCTTCAGTTTGGAAAGAAAATTGTTCCAAGCCTTGGGCGCCACGAACTTTGAAAAGTTCTGCGATGTAAAGCAAGTTGAGTTGAACTATGACTTTTCCATTTTCTGACTGAATTCATAGATGCAATTCGCCTACACGGGTGATTTTCATTTTATACTTTCTACTGGTTTTCGAATTTAGTTCATATCATTGGCATCAAGTAAGCGATTGAATATCGTCTTTTTACAGCAAATCTGATGCAAATTTTGTTCGTTGGGTAGTTCTGAACTGGCTCCTCCTACCCTCTTCATCTTTAAATTAGACCACTTTGTCATTCTGTCAAGCGAAGCAGGAAATGATAGAAAGTTTCTCACAAAACCATTAGAGAGTCTTCCTCCTTGTAAGAAAGGTATTTATCAATTCCAGGATTGTACAAAAAAAGAACAATTGGATCCTGGACATTCGGTTGAGTAATAGGTTCGAGAATAGTTGAACACTTCACCAACTTAAGTAGGACTTTCTATGAACTGAGCTCAAAAAATGTCTGGATAGTGTGATCATAGTAAATGTCGAAAATGATGTTTACTTCATCAAGTTTGGGAAATTAAATCGAAAAGTAGAAATCAGTACAAGAATCCAAATGACTTGAGTAGAGATTAGAGAGCTAAGAACTTTAAACTTTATGAAAGAGGAAGGGAATCAAACCTCAAGCTTACATGGATTTTCTTCAAGGAAACTAAAAATCTCTAATAAAAGTTATTTTTCTGTGTGTACCGATAAGTAAATCTAAAATTACTCATAGTCAAAAACCAATATTGATGTATTATTATATTTTAAAAGATGCTCTTATGATAAATTATAAATATAGAAAGCGCGTCAGTTTATTTTTATCTCAAATTAACTTTCTAGTAGAGAGGATGTCATTTTGGCACCGGTTCAAAGAAAAGGGTGACTGCTGTATATACCTAGTTGAGATTAATTGTAAAACGCAGGATTTTGTATATGAATATAATAATATTGTATATGTAATATTTGCGGAATCAACGATATAATTAATATGACCACATATTTTAGATGTCTTAGATTCAAACTGTTGTACATAAAATAAGTCATGCACTAATCTAGGCTAAATTTGAAGTGTATATATAAACGCTAGAAAATCTATATATTATTACCTACAAGGAATAATTCTTTTCTGAAAAACATGCACTAGGCTGTTTTAGAATATTTGTTTCTAATTTATCTAAAAAATAAATAGTTGGCTTACGTTTTCTTCTAAATCTAAAAGATTCGTAAAAAACTTTTCTTATTCAATAAACTAGCTATGTGTATAGACTTTTATCACTAAGTATATATTTGAAAATTATTATACTAAAAACGGGAAGAACTTGTTAATTGATTACGAAAAAAAATATGTCTCTAAATTCTGGCAACTATTTACGTTATAACCTCCAAAATAGGGTATTCCTATGCAGCACCGTAGGGGGTTTTTCTTTAAAACTAATTTTTTTTTTGAGCGCACCTTCACGAACCTTTTACTCGAACGAATGAAAAACGCGTTTCATTAAATCACGACATTTATTTTTCAATATAATAAAGGAAAAATTAACAGTTTTCGAGGGGCCGATCCGACACACGGGCAGTTGAGTTTCGTCATTGCAGCAACGGAACGGGTGTTTACGACTGCGTAGAAACAGGAACGGTCGGGTTGCCCCCCCGCTGTGCCGCCTCCTGCTCCTGGATGATGCCTGGCAAAAGCAAAACGTGCACGGGAATTTTTCAGGAGCACGCGACAACTGGCTTTTTTTTTTGTTTTTTTGAGGTCCTACTTACGTGATCTTCTCCTAGAGGCCAGTTTGTCTTCTCACCCTTTTTTTTCTATGAGTAGATGCAGCAGGGCGCCGTAAGAGTTTTGGGGGTTTCTGGTTATGAATTTTTCATCATGGATGTTGTGTTAGTTATGTAATGATGAATGGGTACCAATAATTTGTTTTGTAGCAATGGAAAACCATAAAAAGGGCGTCAGAATTGATTTGATTAGCTGATCTATTTCAATTTTTGATTATTCTCGGCTCTTGATTCGGATCAAGAGCCTGGAATAATCAATTTTTAAATGTTGCAACTCTTTTAGAAAGTTGCTATCAAAAATGCGCCATTTTTTTCTAATTAATTGCCCTCTAGCAATAAAAATGGCAGCAGAGTAGGGAGTATGTAGGCTTTCTGGCTCAAAACAGAGACGAGACAAAGAGACACTCCCCCTACCACTGAAGATACAACCATCCCCTGCGCCCTCTATGAATCCCCCTACGTCTCAAGGTACAACGCGCCCTGTATCCCCCTACCTCTCAAAATACGAACCCTGTATCTCCCTACCGGTCACTAGAGATACTATACACAACCATCCCCCTACCGCGCCATATATTTCCCTATCGCGCCCTCCATCCCCCTACATTTCAAGATACTACACACAACCATCCCTTTATGTTTTATGCTGGTTTTGGGGTTGATTTTTCTGGTTTTGTGCTAAATTTTGCTGGTTTTGTTCTGGATTTTGCTGGTTTTGTGCTGGATTTTGCTGGTTTTTACTGGTTTCGTGCTGGTTTTGTGCAGGATTTTGCTGATTTTGTGCTGAATTTTGCTGGTTTTATTCTGGATTTTGTTGGTCTAGCTGGTTTTGTACTGGTTTTCATCTGACTTGGAAGGGGGATTGCTTGAGATCGTCACTAGGGGGGATAATTACAGGAAAATTGCGGTGGAGGGATTTGTGCGCGATAGGGGGATGGTTGTATCTTGAGTGGTAGGGGGAGTGTCTCTTTGTCTCGTCTCTGTTTTGAGCCAGAAAGCCTACATACTCCCTACTCATCAGAATTGATTTGATTAGGTGATCTTTTTCTATGTTCAATTTTCAATTATTGTCTAATTATATTATTGATAAGACACCCCTTAACACCTTAAAACAATCGTACAAGGCCATGGAAAAACGTCAAGAAGAAATATCGTTATTGCTGCAATAGTGTTGACGAAAACATGCAACATTGCACTGCCACAAATTAAACTGCCTTTCTTTCATGGTCGGTATGATGAATGGACCATATTTCGTGACATATTTTCAAAAGTTGTTCACGATAATAATACTTTAACCGACATTGAAAAGATGCAGTATCTGAAATCACACGTCAGAGGAGAAGCAGCACGGTTAATCCAACATCTGAAAATTACAAGCAGCAATTATACAACAAGTTGGAGTATCCTTGATAAACGTTACACAAACGACCGCCTGCTAACGAACAATCTGTTGGACAGAATAATAGATATTCCAAGTATCCAGCACGAATCAGCATTCAAACTTAAACAGCTGCACGATACAATTTTTGAATGTCTAGAAGCCCTGAACAACCTAAACATAGACACGTCCTCCCGGGGTCCAATGATAAGCAGAATCTCGAAGATGGGATGCTGAGACTAACAGGTTGTATGAACAATCATTAAGCGCACCACATGAAATACAGCCTATTGATGAGTTGATGAAATTCATCCAGAAAAGGTTTCACTCACTAGAAACGTCGAATGACGCAATCAAAAAGAAAACGCCTAGAGATAATAACTCGACATGCTCATACTGCACAACCACACAAGCTTCATTTATGCCCAAAATTTCAAGCCCTGCCAGTCGCTGCAAGACTGGGAGCTGTTAAAGAAGGAAAGTTGTGCCCAAACTGTCTAAAATGTAATGCCAAAAGTCGCTGTCTCTCCACAGAACGATGTCGCAAGTGCCGAAAATTCCATCATACCCTGTTGCACGAAGAAACTGGATATCGGCAAGATCAGCGAAATCAAAACAGAGATTCTCAGAACTCTCGGCATAGTAACTCTGCAAATCATTGCTAAAGACCAGATGAGATGGTATTGTTAGCCACCACCGCAATGGTCCGGGTAGCAAACATATATGGCACAGATCAACACATACATGTACTAGTAGATCCTGGTTCTCAGTCAACCTTCACAACTGGGGAAGCTGCCACAATCTTAGCAATTCCGAGACAACGCATTCAGGCTGATATAAGTGGAGTAGGAGGAGATGAGCCTCTCACAGCAAAGTGGCAAATAAAAGCAACAATTAGGCCTCGTTTCGCAAGATATTTTATACTATACAGTGCCATGTATAGTATTACCAAGGTTAATAAGATCACTGTCTGCCGAACAATTCAACGTAGAATTTAATCAATGTTATTCTAGCAGATCCGACATTTTTTAAGCCAGGACCGATAGATATTATCCTTGGAGCTAAAGAATATGGAGACATAATTCTGGAAGGTATTAAGAAGACGACAAATGGACTACTTGCACAAAATACAGAATTAGGTTGGATCGTCTCTGGAACCATGGCGCAGGGTCCAAAACACAGGTGCATAGCATGACAACGCTTATTGAAGAAGATAAGCAACTCACTAGGTTCTGGGAAATAGAGGAGGTAACATAGCAAAGACACTTGAATGAAGATGATCAATACTGGGAGGAACATTATGAAGCAAATATTATAAAAAACCCTGGCGGCACATATACTGTACGACTAACATTTTCACAAAAAATTGAAGACCTAGGACTATCAAAACAACGGGCTGCAGCGAGATTACTGCAGCTTGAAAAACGATTAGCTAGAGATAAAAAACTAAATGTAAACTATAAGGCATTTATGAGAGAATATGAAGAATTAGACCATACGTACTTGGTACCTTCGTCGAAAGCAGCTGCTAAATATTAAATACCTCACCAACCAGTGATAAACGAATCAAGCACTACAACCAAATAAAACTAAGGGTGGTGTTTGACGCTCCTTCTAAAACATCAACTGGTATAAGTCTGAACAACACTATGCCAACTGGACCAAGACTTCAACAGGAGCTCTCAGACATCTTACTACGCTGGAGATGTCACCGAATAGCAATTTCCAGCGATGTAGAAAAAATGTACCGTCAGATTAAGGTACATCCAGAAGACCAGCGTTCCAGACAATTTTATGGAGATATAATACGAGGGAACCAATACAGGAATACCGATTAAAAACACTCACGTACGGAACCACTGCTGCTCCATATTTAGCCCTAAAAACCATACAGCGTTTAGCAAAAGATGAGGAACCAAGGTTTCCGAAGGCATCCAAGGTTACCAGACTTGATTTCTATGTCGACAACCTATTGTCAGGAGCCGAGACCATCAAGGACGCAATACAGCTCCAAACTCAGCTCACTGAATTGTTTCTGGCTAGAGAATTCGTCCTTAGAAAATGGTCAACAAATAGCATGGAAGTTTTGCAGTCGATCCCAGAAAAAATAAGAGATCAGAGTATGATGTAGATAACTGAGGATCAGACAAAAAAGTCACTTGGTATTCATTGGGCACCTCGTGACGATACGTTCCATTTTATGGTAGATATATTAGTAATCACAAAGATAACAAAGAGAAAGATTCTATCCGAAGTATCGAGGCTATTCGATCCACTCGGGTGGATTGCCCCGGTAACCATAAAGGCAAAGCTTCTAATACAAGATCTATGGTTACAAAAGTTAGATTGGGATGATGAGCTACCCGAAAATATTCAGTTGAAGTGGAAGACATTTCAAGAAGAATTGAAAAACGTAGACAAAATCGTGATACCACGATGGACTAACCTAATTTCTGGGAGCCACTTTAAACTACATGGATTCTTTGATGCATCTGAAAAAGCATATATGGCGCAGTGGTATATATGAAAATACTGGCAACTAATACAGAAGATGTTAAAATTACGTTGTTAACTGCCAAATCAAAAAGAGCCTCGGCAAAAATGCGAGCCACTCTTCCAATACTATAGAGCTATGTTCAGCACTGCTACTAGCAAAACTATTGAGTAGAACAGTCGAGATTTTATCTTCTGATAAAACGATTATTCGTGCATGGACACACTCCATGATTGCCTTAGTCTGGATAAAAGGCAGTACGAAAAAATGGGAAACCTTTGTAGCTAACAGAGTAGCTCAAATCAATGATCTTATAGCAGAAGACTGCTGGAGGCATGTCAGATCTGAACACAACCCAGCAGATATCGTCTCAAGAGGGATGGAACCCTCTAAACTAATAAGTCAAATGTTGTGGTGGGAAGGTCCACCATGGCTAAAGTCAAATATTAAAACCGAACAGGCAGAAAGCGAAACAACAATCGAACGAATGCCTGAAGAAATCAACACATGTCACATAGTTTCCAACAGATGCCAAACAGATGAAATAATTAGAAGATTCTCCACAGTGAATAAATTAATAAGGGTAATTTCGTTTTGCAAGCGTTTTATCCAATACTGCAAAATGAAGATGAAGAAAACCGAACGTCTTTCGGTAAAGGAATGGCAAGATGAACTAGAAGCTATTGTCAAGATCGAACAACATGGCAAGTGGCATTTCATCCCACCAGCAGCTCCCCATTTTGGGACTCTAGGAAGCAGGGGTAAAATCAATGAAATACCACCTGAGGAGAGTGATTGGAGCAACTTGCCTCACCTATGAAGAGTTATCCACACTCATGCACCAGATAGAAGCTTGCCTTAATTCCCGACCCCTGTGTCCACTAAACGATGATCCCACTGACATAACGCCTCTGACGCCAGGGCACTTTTTGGTGAGAAGGGCACTTGTGGAGCCAACAGACCCAGTTAGTACAGCCATCAATTCGGATCTAACTGATGGAAATTAGTACAAATAATTAAGATAGATATATGGAAAAAATAGTCGTCAGATTACTTCAACAACGATACAAATGGAAAAACATTAGAAAATCGCTTGAAACCTGAGTGCTAGTCTTGATAAAAAATGAGGATATCAACCCTAGTAAATGGCCTTTGGCAAAAATAATCGAAACACACCCATCAGAAGATAACACAGTAAGAGCAGTAACCATTAAGAAGGCTGATGGAAGTTGAATGAAGCGTCCAGTTCATAAACTCATTCCGATATACACAGAACAAGAGAAGGTGCGAGGCAATTCAAATAGTAGAAGTGTAAAACTATGGAAGATAGCCTTCATGGCTATATTATTTCTGGTA